CTGGAGAAATGAGCTGTATGGAGCTGTGGTCGTGCAGAAGAGGGGCGGTGCTTGGAAACATGAGCAAAGGGTGCTTGTGTCTGCATGGGAGAGATGCTTGCCGGCTCTCTTCCAGGCTGTGATCTTGCTTTCAAAACTGTAGTATGCTCCAGAGATGGAGCTCTGTTCACTCTGAAACGGCTTTCTGAGCAGGGGGAGGGTTTTGCCTGCCTGCCTGTACTGACATTGTCCTCTCACCTTAAACACTTATGCATTGTTTAAGGTATGAAAACTATTTTTTAAAATGGTCTGTTATAAAAACTCTTCTTGCCTTAATTTGGATTAGAAAGTAAGTGAGAGAAGGATAAAGAAAGCAAAAGGAAGGAAAAACAGTATTAAGCAAAACACAACATGTGAGAGATAGAGGAGCACTTAGAGGAGGCTACAGACTGGTTTGATGGGGACCATCTCTATCCTGCAGGACCTGGAGCATCCCTGAACAGCTGGGAAATCTCTGCAAAACACGAAGCTGCTTGCAGCCAGGGCTTGCTTTTATTTTCTGGCTGCTGCTTTCACACCAGTTTTGTAGCTACTTCCTCCTCAGTACTGGTAAGAGGCTGCATTGTCCTGCACTAACATCCATGTCCTTTTTGGATTCTGTAGGTTGCGGATATCAAGCGCGTCAACAACTTCATCCGGGAGCAGGACTTGTATGCGCTGAAGTCCATCAAGATCCCCGTGAAGACTCATGGGCTGTTAACGGAGAACGGCCGAGAACTAAGGCCGCTCCTGACGGCACCCTCCCAGACCGGCCTGACGCTCGTGGACTTACCGGAGCCTGATGAGGCTGCGGGCAGCTCTGCTGACAGCAGACATTTGAGCGACTACTTCAAGGGGATTGACAAGAGCATTCAGGATGCGGTGCAGGCAGAGGTCCAGCTAAACGCAGAGTATTGTGTGGACACGCTGGAGAGGCCGCTGCCCGAGTCAGGGAAGCAGGAGACCAGCAATGGTGCGGACTGTGGAATCCAGTGGTGGAATGCAGTTTTTATTATGCTCCTGATAGGAATTGTCCTGCCAGTATTTTATATAATCTATTTTAAAACACAAGGCCTGGTGGCCCATACCTCCAACACAACACTAACCTCAAATATTTCAACAGATGGATTGGAAGGGAAATTACCACAAAGCTCAGTTATAGGAAAAAAATCCTGAAGAGAGGCAGCCAAATACAGCCTCTCCTCCCAGTGCTGCAGCCTGTACACCAGTGACTCTGACTCGAATGCCTTCAGGGGGATAACAATGCAGATTATTTTTATTTTTTTAAGCATCTGATGTTGTAGTGCTGAACTTGACTGAAAGTGAGGTGATGTGGTGTTTATGAAAGAATAAGGAGGCTTTGTTGCTTGTAAGGATCATCAGGCAGCTGGCTTAACATTTGTGAACTCTGCTGAAGCAAAGTATGTTGTAGCAACTTGCGCATCGTGGTTGCTTCAGGTGTTTCTTAATGCCTTGCCTAAGCAGCGACTCCTTTGCTGCTGAGATAGAGTGCAGTATTAACGTCATGGGAAAGTTGGGGGTTGTCTACATTTTAAGAAAACACTTTTTGCTTAGAGTAGAAGCGGGGACTCTTCTTTTTCTCTGAATTGTCATTTTTATCTCTTGCAGACCTTGGCACACTTAACCCTAAAATGATGATTTCTAGTATGTTAAGCTAGGTGTGCCACAGCACGAGGATGCTGGTGGCACCTTGCTTTTCCATCCCTTTGAGCAAATGTTGCAGCTGTGTTTATTAGGATGCTTCAGGCGCACGCTTGGAAGGGTGAGCCCAGACCTCTTCTCCTTGATGACATCCTTCAGGTATTTCTCTTGAAATCCAGTGTCTCTGCAGGTGGAGCTCATCACAGACTCTGTGCTTTGGCCAGGGTACTGCTTGTCCAGAGCCAGTGCTTCAGCAGAGTCTTGGAGGAGGACTGAGGGTAGCATTAGGCCTGTGGTATGTAGTACGCGCTTCTCAAAGGCTCATTTGGTGGGAGGAGGTCCAGCCAGTGTTACGTTACTTTAAAAAAAAAAAAAAAATCCATCATGGTGCATCTCAAACACCCAATTTTAGTCATGAATGGGGGTTTCCTTGTTTGTAGTCTTCATGTGAGAGTATTGCCACGTCGCATTTAAGTTGCAAGGTCCAGGAAAGTAGGCAGCCAAGGAGAGAAGGGTGAATCCTCTGCAGGGTGGGCACTGAGAGGCTGCTGCGTGTTAAACCTTTCTGTGAGCTGCTGAGGTTTGCATTGAAAACCTTCTGAGTACGTAGGAAAGAGCAGTGAAGCGCTGGAGGCTGGTGGTGTCCTGAGATGCTGGAACGCCTGAGGATGAGTCAGTAAACACTACGTGCTAGGAGTGAGCAGAAGATGAGGCTTTGGGGAGCTTTGCCGCAGAGAAGAATTTGCCTCAGACATTTAATTCAGCAGATTCAGGGGCTGGGGGCAGAGGTAAACTCCTACAACCAAACACTAAGGAGTTTTGCAGCACAGTTGCACAAAAGCCCAAGGGGATTGAGGGGAAGCAGTAAACATGTATGATGTAAGGTCACTGGCCATTCTGTCAGCTTTCAGGAAGGGTCTGGGCCCTTTCCTGGCCTGCTTGCAGGGGCCTCGGCTCGTCTCCTGCCCTGAGCTGGCAGCTGCCATCATTCGCTGCCCTCCCCTCCTCGCCCTGCGCTGGCCCCTCCAGCCCCCTTTGCCGAATTTCCAGACAGAAAAAGCGCAGGATCGTTCTGCCAGTGCTGCCTTGCAGTGGGCGATGCTGACCCTGCCCACCGCAGCGGTACGTCACTGGAGGGGCTGGTTTGGTTTTTGTGGGGGTTTTGTTGGGGTTTTTTTTTTTAAAGCCTTAGCAGACGCTGCTGCTTACAGCTCCAGTGAAGCTGGGCAGGAGCAGCAGCGCAGGCTCCTCTTGTAGGGATGCAGCCTCGGCCTGGCAAGGAGCAGGCTGACAGTGTCTGGCGGGGACGCAGATGGGGCTGAGGCTTCCCAGCAACATGGGGAACCCCGCACCAAGTGAGTGGAACCATGTGATGTTATAATGATGTTATAACAATAACCTTTGTTTCCTGCACCTGTCAAAAAAAGTGCCCAGGAAAGCCTGAGGGAATCCCATTTTGTAAACAAGGACTCTACAGTATCCTATACTGGAAAAAAAATTGTATTTTTCTTCTGTGAAGGAAATGTCTCTCTCTTTGTTCTGGGGGGATTATTACATTTTTAAATAAAGGGGTACCACCCACCCCGGAGGGCTTGCGCTTCTGGTTTTTGGTCACTACAACTCAGCTACGCTGCATCGCACAGCCGAGCGCCTTCCCCAGCCTGGAGGGCCATGCCCCATCTCCACCTGACCCCGGAGAGCGCAAGAACTCAGAAATGCCCTTCTCCAACAGGGCTTTTCTCAGGCAAAAGAACCGTCTCGCAGAGCCTGCTCCCGCTGCACGAGCTTGGCAGTGGTGCCGTTTCCTTGCTGCTGGTTTCCAGATGCAGAACTGCAGCGATGGGAAACGGGCAGAGCTGCCTGGTGCGGCCACCCCGGCTCCCCGGCCCCATCTGCCTGCCTGGCGCAGAGCGGAGAGGGGCAGAGGGAAGCCGGTCGCCAGTCTGAGCCTACCCAGGGCTTTTGGCTGGTTTCTGTAAGGGTCTTGTCTTGCAGAGCATCAGTTCTATAATCTGAATGCAGTAACGGGTACACATAGCCCCAAACCCCCATCATCAGCGCTGCAGTTCAAAACCAATACTGCAGTTCAAAACCAATACTGCAGTTCAAAACCAATACTTCAAAACCGAAGCTGAAGGCTATTCCAGAGAGCTGGAGAGGGGGCAAAGATGCAGAAAGCCAGATGCAGAAAGTCCGCAAACACGAGAGAGGCTGGAGTACACAGTAAAAGCCAGTATCTTTACTTTAGTGAATGCAGGATACAAATATTTTACAACAACCTCTAGCATTTTCTTAACCATTTGATAAAAAGTTCACTAGAATATTTATTGTATATTGAAGAAAAAACAACACATTCAGGGAAAAAATTGAGATTAACTTATTTTTTTTCTTAAAAGATTCGTCTCAAGGATGGCAACAAAGTCCAGCTTGTGCCGCCAAACGGCTTATCATCATTAAACCGTGAACAGCTTCTTTGTGAACTGTTGACTACAAACATTTACCAAATACATAAATCTCTTTTAAAAAAGCCATTTTAAATATAGCAAAGCAGTGTTCTCTTGCACAGCAAAGTGAAGAAAGTTTCTACTTTAAAGATTTAGACGTTTACATTTGTTAAGTCTTTCTTTCACATTCTAATTTAACTTCTTCCCATGATCAATTGTTAGGAGTTATTATGTTCCTTATTTACTATGTATTTCTTGTGCGCACAGTAATTCACAAGTTTCTGACGCATTAGTGTCCTTTAAGTGAAAGGAAAGGCTAAAGCATTTTTCTCTGAACCCTGATAACGTGTACTTTTAAATACTGGAGTGAGAGCTGGAAGATGGAGAGGTGATTTGTCACAATAGAGCTAAAAATCGCAAATCACTCAGACTTGAACAGGGTCCGACTAGGGTTGGATCCACTTGCAATTTCATTCAGTACAGTTAATTTAAAAAAAGTCATTTTTACCTGTTGAAATATCTGTGCTATGCCTTTTTTTTTATATAAAATTTTTACAAGTCCTAAAAAAGTATGTTCCAAAGTTCATTAGCTGTTATTAAAAATCAGGATTCCTGTTTATGCAACAGCAGGTGAGTCTCCCCCTGGGGCAGGGAACGACTTGTTCTGCGGAGTCTGGGGGAGGCTTTGGGGCAACACATGAACAGTCCCCTTCCAGTTCTTAATGAACCGATTATTTATTGATTGATTTTTAATTCATTGGTGCAATTTCAATACAAACTCTAACCCTTACATAGCTTTTTTCGTTAAGAAAACAGTAATAGCACTGTTTAAAAACCTGCATAGAAATAAAGACTATTGAGATACAGTCAGCAAAGCCATCTTATAAGGCACACAAGAAAATAGACAGTAAATGTGAATGCAGAACTCCCACTCGGATGTACAGCAAAGTTCATATATGTGCATAAATAATGAAAAAATCACATAACTTCTCAGAGCGTTAAAAGGTTCTCTGAAGCGGTAAGTGAATTCGGTCACTTTGGAAAGAGAGTTGCCATTAGAAGTCTCATTTTCCTCTATGCACCTGTAAACCAGTAACTAACTCCAATAAACAGGGAGCAATTCCCAAAGTGGCTGAAACGAATTGAAACCTGTACGGCTTTTTAAAGTTACCATGACAGCAAGAGAAGGGGTTTGGAAGCTGCATACACTGACTGTTCTGCAGCCACACATTACACAAGCAGCCGAGGTGACAGCTGTCCCCCGCGGCTTTCATTGCTCACACTCTGTACTTACAGTGTCAAGGAAGTGATTTCTTAAATTAAAAAAAAAAAAAAGCCCAAGCCAAAACTTAATAAATATCGAGGTAACTTCAAAGGAGTTTGGCTAATCAAAACAGTGCTGTAGTTTCTCCCCCAGAGGTAGAACTACCAGCAGTAAGATTTAGTTGGGTCTGCTTAGCCCCATTCCCAGTGCTGCTGGATGCGTCTCACCTGCAGGACTGGGAGACACAAGGACCTGGCAAGAGGCCAGGTTTCAGGGCGCGAACGCTCCCTCCTGCGCCACCGGCTCCCCCAGGAGTTTGGCTAATCAAAACAGTGCTGTAGTTTCTCCCCCAGAGGTAGAACTACCAGCAGTAAGATTTAGTTGGGTCTGCTTAGCCCCATTCCCAGTGCTGCTGGATGCGTCTCACCTGCAGGACTGGGAGACACAAGGACCTGGCAAGAGGCCAGGTTTCAGGGCGCGAACGCTCCCTCCTGCGCCACCGGCTCCCCCCACACCTCTGGCTCCCAAGACTTTTTGCTGCTCAAACACGGCTTTGGCGGGTCCAAGCGGGGCCTAGAGGTCACCAGGAGAGAGGACGCTGCCCCCGCTGTCCGCGACCTTCCCGCTACGGCACAGTCAGACCGCACAGGTAAAGGCACCCCGCCGAATCCAAGTGTGAGACAAAACCTGCTCCTATCCCGGGCACAGGGCACAAAGGGCCTCTGGATTCCTCGCTCTGTTTCATAGAAGCAGCAGATTTATTTCTGAGGCTTTATCCCAAACCACTTACCAACTTAAAAAACCTTTTGTGCTCATCTGATATGTGTCATTTCCCTACCATGAGAAATTAGGTCAAGTTTTTCCACTTTTTTTTTTCCTTCCCCCTCCTCAGAAGAGGCGGCTTTAAAATGATGCCTTAAAATGTGTTGTAACAGATTTTTTATATTTATGCAGGATGAACTTAACACCAGATTTTTTTTTTGCCACTTTGCTATTTATATACATATATATAAAATGTATAATGAAGCTTAACCATACAGCACAGAGATTACAATTTAACGGCACACATTCACCACCAGTGAGGGGGACAACCCCTTTATACACCCTCTGAAAAATCTGGATAATAATATTAATAATAATTAAAATCCAAAGAAAGTACAGTATATTTAACAAAATAGTAAATATTAAACAGTGAATACTCTACTTAATAAGGACCTCGCCTTTTTTCAAGTTGGCGTCAATCCACAAAAATATACTTTTTAATCTGGTGAACGTACAATACATAGGTACTTACACCAAAGGTGATAATATATTTAGGATGCTATATACACAAAGAGTTTGGCTCAAATTTAAATTTACATATAAGTGTTCATGGCTTATTTTTCCCCCAAGGTTCCGCCTGCAAGTTTTTCCTTTTCATCTTTGAAAGCAAAAACTAGAAAGTCAAAATAAGATAAAACTATACTCTACAAAAAAGCTACAACATACAGCTTTGGCTTATATAAATAATTCATAGCAGAATGTGTTCAAAAGTACTGTATATAACTTTATATATAGTCTTCAATTCATTAGGGTACTGTTTTCTTTAATATAAAATATACATGAGCTAAAATCCGTTTCTATATTTTTCAAAGGTATGAACGTAAAAACAAATTTGTCAAACATATTCCAATTATAACTTAATATATTAATTTTATTTTGTTAATGTTCTATTTTCTAGGCTAATATTTTCTGAATATTTCATGCGAGTTCTCTATGTCTCTCTTTCACTCATTTAAAAAAAAATCACTTCTTTGACCCAATACACTTTTTTTTTTTTTTGCACGTGCAAAACAGGGTTTTTGTTGTTTTTTGTTTTTTATTTCTTACAGCATCAGCCCTTCTCCATGCACCCTCTGCAATAGAGACCCATGCCAGGTTGGGTAATATAAAGGTCATTTTATGTACAGTATTGCTTTCTTCTTCCTGCTTTTCTACTGCTCTGCTGCTACAAAGCATTATTTCTTAACTACAAGTAACCATACAGCTTGAATAAAACACACAGGGACGTTACTACAGGCGAGCCCTCTCGGTTTCTGCAATCTAGTGTGGTAGGATTATACTGCGGGTACAACGTTTCTTTGCAAAACAGGTTATATTATTAAAACAACAAGTCCAGGTAAGTGCCAGACTAGATCAATACCTACAGGATTGTTCTGTTACATTTTACCATGGGACATCTGCAGCTATACAAGAAGTTTGTCGTAAGTGCCCGATGATTTTGTGTATGCTACACACACTAGCACATATATATGCATGTGAAGATATATATATGCATGTATGTATATACATATAAATATACTTATTTCATGTCCTTATTTATAGATTTAGATATGTCAGGACAGTTCATTCCACCAACACAAAACTGAAGCGGCAACACTGCACGTTTATGTCACCCATGTGTCCATCCTCATTCGTTTTACCGATGGACTCTCTCTATCTTCTGAATTCGGTGGCCTTCCCAGCACGACAGGTGAATGGAAATCGCTCCTCGGGTCCTCCCGATCGCTGCCATCGTAGGAGCTGCTGGAGCTGCTGAGGCTGTCAACTGGAGAGCGGCCCATTTCCTGCCGCGACTGCTGCTGCTGCTGCTGCTGCGGGTGTGGCGGGGGGGGGGGTGGTCCTGCTGCTGCTCCTGCTGCGGTTGTGGCGGCTGCTGCTGCTGCGGGAACCCAGAGGGAGTTACACGGTCCCGGGGAGGTGAAATTGGTTCAGATTTTATGTTGATGTTTTGGTTGGTATTAATGGATAAATTTGAACCCTGAGATAGCTGGCTGCCAGTACTGGGAAAAAGAAAACCAAAAGGCAGAAATAAGAAAACACGAAAAAGGAAACGAAAGTGACAATTCATGTGTCCGTGTGATGGCATGGTCTTGTGGTTCAACACCCTCAAAATGAATCCCAGAATAGTTTGGGTGGGAAGGGACTTTTCAAGGTCATCTAGTCCAACCACCCTGCCATAAGCAGGGACATCTTCCACTAGAGCAGGTTACTTCAGAGCCCCATCCAGCCTGACCTCAAACACTTCCAGGGACGGGGGCATCCACCACTGCTCAGCAACCTGTGCCAGTGCCTCACCACCCCCAGAGTGAAGAATTTCATCCTTCCATCTAGTCTAAATCTACCCTCTCTTAGTTTAAAACCATTACCCCTTGTCCTCTTGCAACAGACCCTGCTAAAAAGTTTGTCTCCATCTTTCTCATCAGCCGCCTTTAAGTCCTGGCAGGCTGCAATAAGGGCTCCCTGGAGTCTTCTCTTCTCTAGGCTGAACCCCCCCAGCTCTCTCAGCCTGTCCTCGCAGGAGAGGTGCTCCAGCCCTCTGATCATCCTGAGTACGTAAATAAATGCAACTTATGAAGTGAAGAAACCAAGTTGAAAAAAGCATTAATTAAAGGTCTGAATGCATTTATAGAAGTTAAAAACAAACAAAAATATTTCCTATTTCCAAACATTTAAGTTCATCACACAGGTGACTCCTTTGTAAGGAGCTGGACCCGCAGGGACACAGCTTGTTGGCCTGAGGACTGAACTGACAAAAGGGACAAACAGCAAGAAACATGAATGCTTTTGCAGCCAAGGAGCAAACTTGAAAGGCAATGCACCATCACCAGCAACAAGAAATTTTCAAAAGGTCTTGTGCTAAATATTCCTCCTGTGCAGATGACTCAGCCTGCAGTGGCAGAAGTTCCCGACTGGGGGAACTGGTACTGTAATGTTACCAGATGTACTTACACAAGAGAGCTGAGGGCTGCTGGACCGAGGTGGTGCTGCTGCCAGGCAGATACCTGCCCTAAGGACAGCATTCCTGGGGAGTTAAATCCCTGCAAGGCAGACAGGTCTGCACTAGTCAAGGAGTAATCTAAGAGGGAAAAATAAACAAACAAGAAAGTAGTTTATATGCATGTATATATGGAAAAAAAAAAAGAGATGAGAATATGTGACACAAACACAAATATAAAGACTTTCTGCACAAAACAAAGGCAAGTCCTTCGTCCTCCTAACTTCACAAGGAGCTTAACAGGACATAAGCCTCCAAATGACCTTTTTTTTTTTGTTCTGCTTTCAATTCTTACATGTTGCTGTCTGATATAGATTCTTTAAACCCACAGGTACAACATATTTATGCATTTTGAAAAACATATATGTGCATCTTACAGTAAGACAAGTGTTTGCATTTTTGAAGATTTTCATCTGCATGGAAATTTCAAAATGAAGCAAAAAGGGAAGAATTCATGCCAGTCATTAGAAAGGAATGGTGCTTCTTGCACTGAACTTAAAGACTTACTCCCAACCCCAGTGCAGTTCCCAGGCGGGAGGCAGCAGCCAGGAGACGCGCATGCCGTTTGGCTGGCTCGTTACAACCCAGTTGACGATCCTACAACCCATACCCAAACCAAGCAGCGGAACAGCGCTGGCTGCCGCGGCAGGCAAGGGGACCCGAAAGGCAGGAGCTGGTGCAGCTGCAGCCTGGGTGGGGAGGCACAGGCAGGGCTGGGTGCCAAAGGGATGCCATGACCACAGTCACCGCAACCTCTCCCTCTCCCCACAATAGCTTCACTTGTTCCTTCAGGTCTGATTAAATTGTCATCTCTGTATCACATAAACAAAAGAAACCTCTTTATTTAGAGCACAAAGTATAATTACTTAGAAATACAACTTAAATGGATAATAGAAAATACAGTATTTTCTTAATCAACAGTCAGTGACTGGCTGTTAGTTTTGGCTAGGCTGTAATGCTTCGTTCTCACTTCATTCACACGGGAAGTTATCTTCACTTTACCATTATCGCTCATGCTTTTCTTTCAGGTTTTAAAATAAAGCCGCAAACACTTCTCTGCTTTTAATTATTTTGTAATACAGCTTCCTTAAAATAATTTCTAGTCTCTTGAGAGTAGGACAAAATGCTAGCAGCCAAACTTATTTTCTACTGCCAGCAGATGAACCAAAAATTCTGCTTAAGTAGGATGTTTTGGTTTTGTTTTAGTTCTTTTGCTCTTTGGGGGTTTTTTTTGGTCTTTATTTAGTATTTTCCTAAAATGACAACCCCATTATGATTTATCTCTCAAGATAAGCTTTCTTGAAAAATTTCCCTGTTCCCATGCACCAACTTGTTTGCTGCGGACTTCTCAGTTTCCCTTTTAGCAGCCTACAAAGGAAGGAGCCCAGTGCCAGCAGGGTGCTGTGCTTTCCAGAGGATGCATCGGCATCACTGCAAGAATCCTCCCGAAGGCCTTGGGAACCCCAGCTGCATCCCAGCAGCCGAAGCTACTTAAGCTGCCTTTTTCTTTTTGTTTCATTTCTCCCCACTTGACATTTTTGTTGGAAAAACCCTCCCAAGTATTTCTGCAAAGATTCAGAAAGCTTTTTTCCCAAGCTGATCAATCCAAAGCCCTTTTTCAAGGCTAAAATAATACTACTAAAAAAAATACAGCCCTCCAATGACTAGGACATGTACTCAACCTTCAATGCAGCCAGACCTATGACAACCTGCAAGTGTAGTACATGTGAGCCCTCAGGACAGATGTGCTAATATGTGCCCATGGGATTTCTGTAAGAGCAGACCTGAAGAAAATGTTTATAGGAATTCAGTTTCCATGTATTCTTTTCTTCTTTGCATTTATAGCTTTTATGATAATGGACAATTAACTTCTGGTACTTTAGACAGAACATGTCTGATGACAGGGGTTTGAGGAGATACTTTTCCAAAGAACACATACGCCATTACACAATTAGCTGCATTATCATTTCCCTAAATTAGCATGTATCTGCTAGCAGTAAAAGCAGGACACCGATTTCTATACATGAGTAGCTTGATGCAAGATGGAAAAGTTGTACAGACAGAAGAGCACTTTCTACATGATGGAAACAATTACTGCTGTGACCCTAACAACACGATACCTTTGAAGTTTGTGCCTTTGCAAAGTAACAGATCTAAAGCCAGTCATACCTTGCCAGTGGCTAGATAGGCTCTGCTCCAGTGTAAGTTACTATTTAACTGGTTTTTGAGTATTTTTTTAAAAATGCCTAGGCTGTGTTAGAACAAGTAACTCAGGTTGTTCTAGCCCTTCCTCCAGTAATCTGCAGAAAGAACACTTCTCCAGCAAAACAAATCATATAAAATAGTGTATTTATGCAAAACTGATACCCCACATTTTAATTAAGGATTTAAGAGCTGAATCCATCACTTCAAGCCCTGAAAAAAAAAAAAACCCTATCAACCCAGAAAAACAATTTAGGTATCTAAATTTTATCTTGGTCCTTGAACTGCAAAACTGAAATTGCTACGTAAGTGGCGACTGCCCTGCGAATACCCCAATGACAATTTGGTTTCAACATCATATTTCTTTTTGCAAATCCCCTGAAAGGCTCAATCTAACAGAAACAATTCTGAATTCTGAAAAACATTAAAGGCTGAAAGATTTTCACAAATTACTGCATTATCTAAGGAAATGGGCTGTTTTTTAAAACCACATCCCAGTGATAACAGCAGTTGTCCATCGCGTAGGACCTCAGTTTCAATTGTCTTTGCTGCTTCCTGAGATTCAGACTACAGCCCCTCTCATCTTTTCGATGTTTTAGCCATCAGCTTATAGGTTATTCTGGATGAGGGACGCACACAACACTGCTTCCCAAAATGACGTCAGACTGCATGAGAGAACGATGGAATTTGTTAGGTGTCAGGTAAAAATCTACGCATGTCTTCTAAGCAGGGACCAGAACCCTTTGTTTACTTTAAACAGCCATTAAATGCAATATATAAACAATGTTTGTGGTAAGCGTCAAACCAAGATCTGTATGTCCAGCAAGTTCATACTTCAGCTTATAATCCAAAACAAGTCACCAAGCACAATTCCTCACTCTGCTCATCATACTGTTATTGCAACCTCATCTTCTCCTTCATTCATTTCTTTGGACTTTAACCCCCCTAAGGGTAGCAATTATTTGCATAAATGTTCAACAATTCAGTTGGATGCTACTGCAGTATAAATATTTACTATTGCTGATGACTAAACAGTCCCCTTCAAAGAATCACAGGTTGGAAAAAGACCTTTAAGATCACCAAGTGCAACCATGAACCTAGCACTGCCAAGTCCACCACTAAACCATGTCCCGAAGTGCCACATCTACACGTCTTAAATACCTCCAGGGACAGTGACTCCAGCACTTCCCTGGGCAGCCTGTTCCAATGCTTGACAACCCTTTCGGTGAAGAAAATTTTCCTAATATCCAATCTAAACCTCCCCTGGCGCAACTTGAGGCCATTTCCTCTTGTCCTATCACTGGTTACTTGGGAGAAGAGACCA